ACTCTAGCCAGGGCATGTGAGGTCAAGGGGCCGAACCACAACGCCTCTCATTTACTCAAGTGCGCTGACTGTGGCTCATCTGCTTATAATCTGCTTGACATGGCTTTTATGAAATAATAAAAATAAATAATGCCTCGAGATTTCTGGTAGGTGATCCCAGCCCAGTGTTATCTCTGCTTTCCAACGCAGAGATAATCTGTCAGAAGAGCCACTGACCAAACAGGTCTGCTGAGGACCTGCATTGTTCCAACCAGAGTGAGACTGCATCACACCTACGTGGCAATGTTAAGGAATGGATAGGAGGTTCAAACCTGAGATTTATGTCAGGAGATTGTGTCAAACACAGACAGATAGACAGACTGACTGACAGACTTTTAGACCAGGACTGGTTGGGTTTGCAGCACAGCACTGGGAACCACAAACAACTACATGTAAACCACAACTGGATTGTTGTGAATAATTGCACTATGGTGAGAGTTTGGAGTTGATATGGTTTAAAGTACATGGATTCTCCCCTCATTAAGTTCACATAACTTGCTTGATTATTGCGTTAAAGTATGATGCAGCCTCAGGGTTTTATCGGTTGCATCAAATGAGGAAAGCAGAAATAGTTGGACATTTTCGGTGTTTTCCCCATTCATATTTTACTGATGCACATAATTCAGTTATTTCTGTGTGAAATCATAGTGTGGGAAAGCAGTGGATTCATTTTCCTCTCTCTCCTCTGGACAGATGCAGTGCACACTGCCTAAACTGCCTAAACTGAATGACCAGTGAGCAAATGCAACAATAATGTCATATACAGTAAATTATACAAAAGGTTATGGGAATCATGTTATTACAGACGTTTAAACTTTTAGGAAGTTGTTAACTAGCATGTATATTATAAACGTGAGTAGTTTTGTGTTTGTATGTTTTTTGTCATAAGGAATACCAAAAATATGAAATATATAAATATGAAACTACTTGGAGTCAGATTCAAGTCCAGTGGGTTTTAAGTTTGAGTTCAAATCATCAAAGATCAAATTCAGGTCATGCGAGCAATGCAGCATTTCCCAATAACATCCATATTTGATCCTTTAATGTAAAAATGAAAAAAAAAAAACTCTCTCGGCACCTAAACACCTATTTTTAAAATTTTAGTTTTAATCAGATATTTTTACTACTTACTAAATGCCCTGGGGTTGGAGAGCGGGAGTCTTTCAGACCTGTGGATCCTGGAACATCCAAAAGAGGCCATTTCATTTGCAGATACTGTGCGTAAGAGAAAAAGAAGAAAAAATTTAAACAACAAAACCAGACACACACTAGAGGGAAAATAGTCATAAAAATGAGTGGAAAAATCATAAAGAGGTAAAATAGGACTATTAGGACCAAAAGGTGTAAGAGTCTCATGAGCAAAAATCTTGCATTAAATTTACAGTCTCAGCAGCACTGGGAGAACATCTTTTCCTGCACCGTGCAAAAGTGGTATGAATGGTGTCAAACCCACAGACATCTGCGGCAAACACCTGTATGAGAACTACATCCCTGCTGGAGTCAGACAGTCATTTCTTGGCATGGCGGAGAGCAGGGAGAATGATGTGAACGCAGCGCAGTGGTGGAGAACTGTGAAATTGCCGTTTGTCAGGGAAGGAAAAAAACAGGAGGCCAGCTGTGTGCGCCCATCGTTGAGCGGGTGGGAAGAGACAGCTGGAAGGAAGCTCCCATCTACAGAGCAGAGAAAGATTGCACTGCGGACACGAAGGTAACACCTGTCCATCCGTCTCAATTAGATTAGCCTTTCTGACCCCAAACTAAGCTCATCCTCCTTTTAGTATGACTTTTTCACACAGGTTATCAAAAGATACCAATGTTTGGTGTCGTCTTTTTTTTTAATATCATCACAGCCCCAATCCATCCTTTAATTTGTCTTATTGTCACTGTCTAGCCCTTTGCCACTTTGCTACCAACTCTAAGAAACGTTTTCTTTTTTGTGTGTGATTAACTGCTTGATAGAATGAGCTTAGCCTGGTTTATTTTTCCTCCCTCCTGTTCTCCAACGAAAAAGCACGCAGTTCAAGCATCTGGTTTATGAATCACTTTAAATACCAGATACAGCAACAGCTTGTCATGCATGTGGATTTTCTCCCATGTACATTTTTTACATAGCATTTTTTTATTCAAACTCCTGCAGATCAGACTAGAAAAAATTAATCACAGATTATTCGGCTGTATAAAACACTAACCTCTGGCAGAATATAGTTATGTTTCTAGTGTTTACCAAAGTCCCTTCCAACAGCTGTTTGACAGCCATAAAAACAAAACACCTGATGGAGGAAAAAGAGGAAAAATAATGACTGACAAAAATGCTCTTGGAGAATATGTGAAGTTTCGTCCAGTTTTAAAGGGCTGTGAGGTACAAATGATTGCAAAGTAAAGTGAAGAAGCCGTGCATTTCTGGTTCCGACTTTTAAAACTTCATTCATCAGTCAGGGTTTGTAAGGAGGAAGGAAGCTTGGATGGCCGTGGGTTAAAAATGGAAAAGACATTATAGCAGGAGGGAGGGAAAAGGAGAGGAGGGAAGAAGAAGAAGAAGAAAAAAAAACATTTTCAGGAATGAGTTTGTCGGAGCAGGCAAAGGGTATTGTTTGCTGACAGCTGGGGTCCAACACAGCATTGAGGCAGGGGGAAGGGGATCCTTTTTCTCCCCTCGAAAAAGGGGGGAATTCTTGGAGTTGACATCAGCCCTCTTCATTTTCACTATACTGCTCAAGGCTGAATCGTAGGTTCCAACTAATGGGCCCAAGTCCATACAACTGTCTGGAGGCAGTTGCTTTTAGGGGCTGATAGTTCCATATTTAAACTTTACTCTGCTGTGTGCAGGAATGAATGCGACTCTGCAGAGAGAAACCCCAAAACAATGCAGTTTTCTCTGTATAATCTATGTCAATCATGAGTCCTTCCACAAATGAAACAAGCGCTATTGTGAGCGTTTGGTCTAGCCCAGTCCGTGCCCACCCCAGCACAGCTCTTCCACCCAATGTATCTTGTAATTGACAGCTTCTGCCAGGACTGAGGAACATGCCCCCAGGCACGTTTTTTCCAAGCGCCTACTTTTCTTTTAATTGCCAGTGTGTCCTATGGAGCAGTGATCCACTCACACACACACACACTTGCTGAAACATCCAGGCAGGTAATGCCACTCACACACTGTCACATTAGCTTCAGTCCAAACTGTAGCAGCGCGACACTCACTAACAGAGGAGGCACAGGGAGAGAAGGAGGGATGAAAGAGGAAGAAAGGAGGGGGGTATTTGGGTCTGTGACGAGCTGTTTCAGGAAACAAAAGGCAGAGAATTGCAGGCCGCTGTTGAGCAAAAACTTTCTCGGTGTTAAAATGACCCAAAAAATGGTTGTTGATAATAGGAACAAAGAAAATACTTTCAGTAATTTTTTTGACATACAGAGTTCAGCTGTTAAACATAAACCAATTTTAAAAGTGCATAAATGTTTGAAATGACAAAAGGTCATATGAGTGATATTTTGGGAGGTTCCACTGTTGAGACGTTACAGGTCTGGATTTAAGACTGGCTATAAAAGGATCATCCAAAGGCTAAGGCTACACAGGCTCATCCCGAAGTGTCTGGTCTGGATAGCAAAGAATTTAGGCCTTTTAACCGTCTGGAGTTTTGTGAAAGGAAAGTAAGGAAGCAAAAATATCAGTGAAGACTGTGGATGGAAATGACTGCTGAATGTGCAATGTAATGTACCTTAATGTGAAGAAACTGATAAAAGTGTGAAAAGTGTTTGTCTTGAGAGAGAATACAACATGTGCTGTAAGGCACGAGGCCTTTCACTGCCAGGGCTGGGTTCTAATTGTTACATCATTCTCACAGAGCGAAGGAAAAAGCAGGGCCAAGAGTCTTTGTCATGTCTGAAGTGTGTGGAGCCACAGCGAAGAGCAACATCAGAGCAGCGAGCCCACACATATAAGCTGCCCACTGTTCACTTTGGTGATGGGTTAAAAGCAAAGGTCACATTTCGTTGTGTGCAGTGATGTGCTGTGTCATAATGACAGATAATTCACTTTCACTTTCATTATTACACCCTATCATTTTTTTATCCAAAAAAGTATTCAGTTTACTTTATCAGCAGGCCAATAGAAAATTGGAAAATCCCAAGTAAAAAGAAACACAAATATATTTAATAATGCTCTCCTAAATCAAATTACATAAAATCATATAAAATCACGCTATAATAATGTCCACATATACTTTAATTTTCCACCAACTACTTGAGTCACAAAATGTATTTATTTTATATTGAGAAATCCACTTAAACTAAATGACTAGTGACATCTGGCCTTGATAAATTAATAACAAACTGGGACATAAATGTCTAGACATGTGCCCTAAATTGGATTTAACTAAATCAATCATGAGCAAAACTTCAGAAAAACAAACAAATAAGGTAGTCTGTGTGTTAAGTGCAAGCTCAGATCCAGGCTGGCTCTTGTGAAATGGCCGCTGCTGCTGCGGTATGCGGAATGCCTACACGTATCGCTCAAGCAGATAATGTCAATCACCTGCTGTGTGCACAGCCCCTCCCTTTTGCTTTCTTTTACCCCCAACAGAAAACAAATGGGCCACACAGCGTGCTGTTTGGCTGAGGTGTTAATTACTCTCCCCTTCCCCATATGAACAACAGCTTTCACACAATGGTCCTGTCAGGCCTCGGCACAACACCCCTCCCTGCTCTTTCTCTGCTCACATCACCTGCTCATACAGGGAGTTGTGGGGGCGTGAGCATTGACACCTCCACCCCTGATCTGTGCATGAAACAATTAAAAGCCCTGCATGACAAAGAGTGTGTGATAAGTAGCTCCCGCCTCAAC